ACAAACAAATTTATACAGTTATAGGAAGCTTAGCATGAATTATTCAACTGTTTATTGAGTCCTTATGTTAAGTGTAACCAAAGGCCCTAAGATTTTAAATACATTTATATAAAGCAGTTAAAACATCTGTACAATTGTTAGGGTATCAACTTCAAGCCAAGAACTCTGCTCAAAGCCACCAGTATCTTTCACTTCAGATTCTAAAGTAACCTTGGAACTGGTCTGTCATTAGAACTATGTCCATTTGCAATCTAGTCTCGTCTTAACACAGCAGCCAGAGGCATCCTTTTTTTTTTTTTTTAGTCATGATACAAAGATGCATTTAATTAGGTTGAGGATGACAGATGACCAAGCAAGCCATTACAATGTACAGTAACTGCTGTGTTCGAAGTAAGAACAGAGCGCTGAGGAAGCACAGAACAAGAGCATTAACATTAGTCTTCGGCAGGGGTAGGAGTCAGGGAAGTCTTGGTGAAGGGAATGATATTTGTGTGGCTCTACAGGACAAGGCACTTAACAACAACAACAACAACAACAGGACAAGGAGAGTTTGACAGGCGGGCCAGAGCACAGGGGATTCAAGACAGGACTAAGTGTGTACGTATGAAGGCAGAGAGGCCAGGTGCTCCATCGTCATCTGTTCAGGGCTTTGGCTATACTGAGAGATGCAGCTGAGCTTGTGGGCATGAGGCTGACAAGGAGGGAAAGGCCGAAGGGGGCCCCCAGGAGTTTGGAGTTTAGCCTGCCTGGTAAGAGGAACCAGTGAGCAGTTTTGACTATGGGTGTGGCACTTCCTGATTTGCTTTTTTCATTTTTAATGTTTTATTGTGAATTATGTGTTAGTTTACATGGGAGAACATTAGCTTTACATTCATCCTGTCATATATCGCTTCATTGCCATGATTACAATCCCCTCCATGCATCATCAAACAACCAAAGCAGAGGCATCCTTTTAAAGCATAAATTACATTGTCTTCTGTACATGAGAATTCAATGGCTCCCATCTCTCTCAGAATAAAAGTCTTAGCCTTACACAGGCCTCCAAGGTCTGGCATGATCTCGTCCTGCTTTCCTTCATCGCCTTCTCATTCCCTCATTGACTTGATCTTTGCTTAGGCCATTCTGGGCTCTTTGCTGGTCTCTAAATTATACCTGGAACACCACTCTCCCAGACGTCTGCTTGGCTAACTCTTACCTGTCTTTCAAATCTTTGTTCCAATCAATCTTCTCAAAAAGGCCTTCCATGACCATTTTGTTTCAGTTATAAACCCCTGCCACCAGTGTCCCGTTCTTTCATTCTGATCTATTTTCTGTTGTATAACATTCGTCACCTTCTATCCTGTCCTGATGCGGTGCTGTAGGATAAGCACTGGACCACAAGGTCAGTTTGAACCACAAGATCGTTGGTTCAAACTCACCAGCCACTCCTTGGAAACTTCTCATAGTGTTGCTATGTGTCAGAACTGTTTTGATGGCACTTAACAACAAACATCCTGCTAGGACAGGGAACCTCTGCAGTGTAGCAATTAAGCACTTGGCAGATAGCCCTAAGTCAGCAGTTTGAACCCAGTCACCGCTCCATGAGAGAAAGATGTGGCAGTCTACACCTATAAAGGTATACAGCCTTGGAAACCATATAGGGCATTTCTACTCTGTTCTGTTGAGTTGCTATGAGTCAGAATGCACTTGATGGTAACAGTTATGGATTTTTGCTTTGTTTTGTTTGATACTGGTAGTTCATTTATTTTTTTCTTAAGTGTTTTGTTTAATGTTGTTTTCTCTCGATTAAAATGTAAGCTCCACAAAGCAAGGGCTTTATCTATTTGTTTTACTGATGTTCACTGATGCCTTTGAATTCTAGGCAACCAAGAATAACACTTGGCAAATAGTTGGTATTCATAAGTATTTGTTGAATAAATGACTTCCATAGAAGGTTAATAAAATTTGCTCTGTGTATGAAAAGACAGTCTGTCTTTGGGCAAGAAAAGTGTAACCATTGAGTCCAAACTTACTGAACTGTATTGTTCATCTGAACAAACTATTGTCAGTAATTTAACATAATTTCTTGACAGTAGTTGGGTTTTGTGGAGAATTTTTCTAAAGTAATAATTGTTATCATACTTACCAATTCAAATATTAAATTTGCAGAGGGGAGAGGAAAATCCAATTGCCTTTTCCATTGCATTTCCAGTAGGCCAGATGCCGAACCACACTGGAGATGTTGAGGTAGATTAAGGCTGTTTGAGATTTTAAATCTCTGTTCTAGAAGGGAGCCTAAGAGATCTCCCAGATGGATTATTGGAAACACCAGGTAACTTAGAAATTAATGTCAGTGCCACAAAAATGACAGCCTCCCTTTTTTTCCACACAGGGGGACGATTCCTCCTCATTCTTGTCGGAAACTTGCCATGAGGATCCCTCTGTCTCCCCCAACTTTACTCCCCCCAACCCTCAAGCTCCCAAGTGGTGACCACCGTCCTTCCAGCCAGGTAGGACTGGATGGGAGGGGTCGCTGTTGAGATAGGGTGGTGTGTAGCCATCCAGTTGTCAGGCATATAGACTTGCTCCTTTATTTTTCACCTTTCCTTTCTCCATGTCCCCATCTTTTTTTTTTTTACCTGTTACAATTTCTAGCCACAAACAACATATCAGCCTCATTCTTTCGTGCTTTTCTCTGATACTTCTGTTTTTCATCATTCTGTTCTTGCTTCCTGACATAAATTCCATTCTTCCATATTGTATTTGTTTCTCTATTTGCAAAATTGTCTTTCTTTTTAAACTTGCTCTTTCTCTCTTGCACTTAAACTATTAATTCTATTTTTTGAAACATTTATTTCATTCCATTTCTTAATGCACTATTTTTCCTTAGTTATCTTATCTTTAAAACCAGTGGGATTATGTTAACTCTCAGGGATTCTTCCTATCCCATTTTACTCAATTTACCACACAATATTAAAAAAAAAAAAAAATCTAGCAAAATTCACTCTATTCCCACATGTTATATTGAGTTAAGGGAACAACACATTATTTCCTAGTTCTATAAAATCAAGAGCTCTCAGAAACAATTCATTAATAGAAATACTTGGATTAGGGCTTTTGGTTGGATCAAGCAATAGCTTGTTAGATAAGGTTTTAGGTTGTCCAAAAGAGAAGCATCATAAAATTGGCTATCTGTTGTATTCATTTAACTAATTATAAAACTGGGCTAAGACGTCATTCCAATGTGTGTGCATTTCTGGAAGAAAAGAGGTCTTCCTATGACTATTAAGAAAGCAAATATATTCTGATGCAAAAAAAAAAAATAGTTCTGTGGGGAGACTTTGAATGCTTTTTTTTTTCTTTAAGCATTAACTGATCTATGATGTGATGCAATAGACTTTACATTCATGCCGAAGAATTACTGAAAACTACAGTTTTACTGAGAAAGAGGTTTAAATTCCTCTCTTCTACAACAATAGCCACTTAAAAGTATGGCTTAGCTCTGTGCTTTTTACACTTCAATCAGTATATGAACTGCCTGTGGTTCCTGGGTCTGATTCTGACTCAGTAGGTCTGGGGTAGGGCCTGAGAGTTTGCATTTCTAACAAGTGCTTAGTTGATGCTTCCTCTCCCACATTTCAGTGAATCACAGTTTCAAAACAAAACAAAACAACTTTTATTGTGAATTGGGTGAAGGTTTACAGAACAGATCATCAGTTTTACATTCAACAATTCACATACTGTTTCATCAAATGGATTGCGACCCCCTTCACCGAACATTGCCTATCCCTCTACCTCCCTGTGTTTTCTGCTTCCCTTTCTCCTTCTTTTCCTAACCCTTCTGAACCTTGTCCTTGGGTAAGTGATGCCCTTTGGATCTCAAATGGTTGACTATTCTAAAGAGTACATACCTCCCTAGCGTTATTTTCCCCTTATAAACCTGTCTACTGTTTGACTGAATAGTGAGCCACGGGAGTGAGTTCAGTTCCAGTCCTGAAGTATGGCTAAAGGCCTTATGTCAGTGCTCTACCAGTCTCAATCTGACCAGTTAGCCTGGTCTTTTTATGACTTTGTTTTGTTCCACATTCTCCTGACACTCTATTCAGGATCCCTTTCTAGCAGTTAATAGTGGGCTCCATCTAGTTCTAGGTCATGGAGACGGATGTTGTCATGGTCCATTAGCCGTTGGACTAATTGTTTCCATGGATCTTTCGTTTTCATCACTCTTCTTTCCTCTGGCCAAAGAGAGATCAATAGTGGTGCCATAGATGGCTGCTCAAAAGCTTGTAAGACTTAAGTTGCTATTCACAAAAGCAGGATGAAGAAGACTGCCTTTGTTATGTCAACTGATGATGGTGTACCCTGACACTATGGTCCTGCATCCGCATGCCAAGCAACTCATTCCCTTAAGGATGAGTAATGTCTAAGAAGTTTTCACAACTTTTCCTAACATAGATTCCACCACATTCATGGATATGCTTACAGCAAAGGTAAACACCAACTCTTCTTACCATACCCATTCAGTCTGCATGTCTATCTATGCATCTGTTTTTAGATCACCATTATTGTGTTGTTGTTGTTAAGTGTCATCGAGTCCATTCCAACGCATAGCAAATCTGTATAGGGTTTCTGAGAAGCAGTTAGTGAGCTTGAGCCACCAACCTTCCAATTCAAACCAACTTTGCAGTCCAGAGCTTTAACCCACAGCGCCACACCAGGACTCCACCATTGTGTATATTTCCATATTTACCTCTGTTGCCTTTCACTCCCACACTCCTCCCAGTGTGCTCCCCTGTCCCATCATTTTTTTCTTTTTTTTGCCGAACTCCCTCTTTGTGTATATTGCCTTATCCTTTACCCAAGCCAGTGATTTGCCCTCTCTTCTCCTCCAGCCCCTGTTGACTGGCAAGATTTGAATACAGTTCTATCTCATGACGTAAGCCCCTGAAAAAAGAAACTTTAAACAGACTTCATGTTGTTTTATTGTATTTTAGCTTTTTGGCCTAATGGCAATCCTGGCCCTTTAATATGCTTTATTTTCTAATACTGCCTGTGACACTAGAAAGAAAGAGGCAGAGAATGCCATTTGACAGCAAAGTCACTGCCAGGCTATTTATTCTGCCTACGATATCCCAATGGTGATATTCCTGGGGTGTCCTTAGAATAAAAATAAAGCCCACATAAGAAGGTGGGAGTGGCCTCTAGAGAAAGGCATCAGAGAGACCTTAAAATGTCTTTTTTATTCAGCTACAAATGCTCAATCTCTCTCTGTGTGTGTATGTGTGTGTAAGTGATACTTGCTACTGTTCTGATCATTTAGGGATATGTTGTGAACATATAATAGCACTTAGAATATCAAATTCTCTCAGGAAAGCCAATTACAGCAGAGCTCTGAACATGTGTTCAGATGTTGTTTTTCAAGCCAAATACAATGGAGATGTAAATGTTACATTTTTGTCTGTGTCCCTTCAGCTTGTGTCAGCCCATCCACTCCTTGTAATCCCTTCACAGCGTCAGCTAGGCTTCCTGTTTAACAAGAATACTTACTTTCAAAAGAGGCAACTATTCCCACAATACCTATACATTAAAAATTCTTCCACCAGGTAGCTTGTTTGGTACCTTTAGCTTTCCACATATAAAAGGTGAAATAAAGATAAACCAGTTTCATACTTCTCACGGGAAAAAAAAAAAGTCTCATTTCTAAAACAGAATAAACAAACTAATTTGAATTTAAAATCAGACAAAATGTTGTTCTTTTATAGCAGTATATGAATAACAGATTTTTCTTTCTACCATATTTAATATTTTTCAAAATGTTTATCCCATGCTTGTTTCCCCTGTAAATATCTCTACTCATATTTGTACATTACAGCTGAAAATGGAATGAAAGAATGAATGAGTAAAAAATAATACATAAAACTGTTATGCATTTTCTAGAAAAATATCCGTTTTAAAATTTTATATCAAGAGTACCCATCACATAAATTAAAATTTCACAGTTTTAAAATTTGGACATAAACCTTTACTGATGGAAAAATATATTCCTTCTATCAAGTAGTGATTAACAGCCCAGACTGAATATGTGAGTCACACATTGAACCCTGATAACGTCGATTTTTATAATGGCTACAAGTCATTGTAGAGTAAGACTAAAAGCAAACAGAAAGGGATTTTCTTACATTTTGTGTATGTATGAACCTCGGTGTCAAGTATGAGGGGCTTCAAAAAGCCCCCTCATATTTATTAAGTGCCTGCTTTGTTCTGTGACATGCCAATTTCAATAGGGAGGACAAAAGAACAGAATACATAGTTCCTACTTATTTAATAAAACCAGAGTGCAATTCCAGACCACAGAAGGGCATTTTTATTTTTTATTTTTTTTACACTTAGCACAATAATAAAGGAGCTCTGGTAGCGTAGTGATTATGAGTCGGGCTGTGGACTTCAAGGTCAGCAGCACAAAACAACCAGCTGTTCCCTGGGATAAAGATGAGGCTTTCTGTTCCTGGAAAGATTTACAGCCTCGGAAACCCTATACAGGGTTGCTATGAGTTGGAACCAACTCCATGGCACATAACCACTACCACACAATAAAAACAGTAACAAAATTTATTGAGCACTTACTATATATTTATTGAGAACTTAACTGTGTTGCCAGGAGTTCTGTTGTGGGATTGTAGGATAAGCAGTGGACTGCTAACTAAAATGGTTAGCAGTTCAAACCCACTAGTCACTCTTTGAAAACCCTATTCAGGGTCACTAGGAGTCAGAACCAATTTGACAGTACACAACAACTAATATATTGGGGCTAACGCCTTCAATAAGGAGCTCTGGTAGCGTAGTGGTTACGAATCGGGCTGCGAACCTTAAGGTCAGCGGTTCGAAACTACCAGACGCTCCGCGGGAGAAAGATGAGGCTTTCTACTCCCGTAAGGATTTACACCCTCGGAAACCCTGTACAGGGTCGCTATGGGTCGGCACCGACTCGACGGCACTTAACAACAACAACAACAACGCCTTCAATGCATATCATATAAAATTTGTTGTTGTTGTTGTTAGGTGCCATCGAGTCGGTACCGACCCATAGCGACCTTATACACAGCAGAATGAAACACTGCCCGATCCTGGGCCAACCTCACTACTGTTGCCACGCTTGAGTCCATCGATGCTGCCACTTGGGGTCTTCCTCTTTTTCTCTGACCCTCCACCTTACCAAACATGATGTCCTTCTCTAGTGACTGGTCCCTCCTGACATATGTCCGAAGTATGAGAAACGAAGTTTGGCCATCTTGGCCTCTAAGGAGCACCCTGGCTGCAATTCTTCCAGCACAGATCTATTGGCTCTTTTGGCAGCCATGACACTTTCAATATTCTCCTCCAACACCGACAACTGTGTTGTTTTGATGGAGCACTTCACTGCATGTCTACCGGATCCGCCATCTTGTTGAGATAAATATCACTTAAATATCATCTTATAATTGCTTCTTTCCATTATACAGTTGAAGAAACT